TGTAGGCATCTGGACTCAGGTAGCTTCAGCTCCCTCTGCCTTCCCAGTCTCGCCCCGAGCCCCACCCCACCCTGCCTTCAGCCCTGCCCCCGTCCTGCCCCACTCAACCCTCAGCCAAGCCCCACCCTCAGTCCCATCCCTATCACTGATCCCCACAGCCACACCCCAGCCATGCACTCAGCCACACCACCCCACAACCACACGCCAGCCACACCCTCATCCACACCCCATATACGCCCTCAGCCACACCCCCCTCAGCCACACCCCATCACGCCTTCAGCCATACCACCCCTCACAGCCACATACCCCTCAGCCACACCCTCAGCTACGCCACCCCAGCCACACCCTTGGGCACATACCCCTCAGCCAGGCCACATCCATGCCCTGAGCTCCGCCTCACCTCAGCCCTGCCCCACCCCTTCCTCACGTGGCAACCCAGGGGCTGCAGATGTGCCCGGAGAGGGCAGGAGGGTGGAAACGTAGGTATCTCAGGAGAATGAGAAGCATGGTAGCCAGGTAGACTACAGGGCCCAGCCCCAGACCCGAGCTGGGGCTGGGCCCCTCCCTGTCTACCCAGGGCATTGCCTGTGAGGCTGCAGGTGACTTGGTGTGTGCTGCAGGCTCAAGGTCCTGCCCCAGGGAGCATGACATTCAGGCCCAGAAATCGCATCGTGCTGCACACAGCCCGAGGGGATAACCCTGTGATGTCCAGGTCACCAGCAGGTTTGGTGTCAAGACCGAGCTGCAAAGGACAGGTTTCTGGAAGGCACAGCATCATAGGTGGAGACACTTGGAGCAAGGTCCTTAGCCCTGGAACCAGTGAATGTGTGCCCTTATTGGGAAAGGGGGCCTTTGCAGAAGCAAGTTAGCTGAAAATAATGAAGTGGAGAGGGGCTCCTGGGTTAAAGGGGTGAGCCCTAATGTAATCACAAGTGTCTTAGGAGGATGGCAGAGGGAGACTGACACAGACAGAAGCCAGGTGAGGTTGGAAGCAGAGGCAGAGGCCAAGCAAGCAGATGCTACTGCCTGGCCCTGAAGATGGCGGAGGAGCCGAGAGCTCAGGGATGCAGAGACTGAAGGAGGCAGGGAAGGTTCTCCCCACATGCCTCGAGGCCTCCCCACATGCACGGCCTCCAGCACACCTAGACCTTGGCCCTGTAGGATTCATCCGGACCTGTGGTAAAAATGTGTGGTGTTTAAGCCACTGGGCTGTGCAAATTGTCAGAGCAGCCACGGCGCATTCCTAGGAGCAGCCATTGGGGGGACTCAACAGGCAGTGACGGGGTCCTCACAAGCCTGTGAGTCACTCAGAGCCATGAGAGTGGCTAGGGTTGGTGAGGTGCAGGCCATGCCCACCTCCTCTAAGGCAGCCTTACATCCGATACCTTCTCTTTCTCTCTCTCTCTCTCTCTCTCCCCCCCTCCCCCTCGGTTGGACTGCTCTCCATCGTCCCCCCAGGGCATGACTGCCTCCCAAGGTTGTGCTGGGGTGCTTTGCTTGAGGTGAGCACTGACATCCCGGGGGTGTGAGGGGCACCTGCCCAGCGGCCTCGTGTGCAGGATGGGCAGTGGGCCCTGGCTGGCTGAGCATGTGGCCTGGCTGGTGCCCGCAGGCTGCAGCCTTCCTGGGGTAACCGGGATCAGTGAAGGCCCACAGAGTCTGGGCCTGGGATCCCTGCAGCGCTGGCTGAGGACCGGCGGGGATGGGCAGTGAGGGCACCGGGTCACTGTCACCACCCGCGGTTTATTACTTCACTGGGTGGGACCCGGCACACCTGCCTTCCCGACACTCTGGAATCCCTGCCTCCTCCCAGAGCCCCCAAGCCCATCTCCCTCAGAGCCTCCAGAGACAGACCTGGGGAGGCAGTTCTTCTGCCCCCAGCACAAGCCCGGGAGGCCAGGAAGGCACTGTGGGTCTAAAGGAGAGGATCCCGGGACTGCCTGAGAGGTGACTCTGATGAGGCAAGCACGGAGCCCACTGAGAAGGGGGATGGGAGCCCCACTAGGGATGGGCTAGCTCCTCATGAAGGACAAGGGCCCAGGAAGGACAAGGGGGCCTGCTGGGGCAGGATCTGCTATGCTGCAGTTCCTGTGAACCTGGCCCAGAGCTGCCTCTCCTTTTCCTCATCGGTCCTCACAGGTCCACAGTGGTTGCCGTATCGGGAGGTCCCGTGGTGGCAGGGATGGGACGCCTGGTATACGCCTGCCAGGTGTATCTGATAGGTTTATGCTCACACCTTCGCCTGGCACCTAGGCACAGCCTGAGCACCTGGGCACTGAAGTGAGGGCAAGGCCTAGGGACCCCACAGGATGGCCGAGGAGGCAACTGCAGGGCGCCTGGGACCCCTGTGCTCAGGAGGTAGAAGGATGCAGCCTGAAGACCCACACCACAGGCTCCCTGGCCAGTGCAGGCCCACAGAGCTCGAGGAGGCAGCCCTGAGCCTCCCGGGGAGAGACGCTCTGTGCATGCCGGCACGGGCCCAGAGTTACAAGCCCTAGGACAGCCCGGGAGAGGCCCAGGCCCCAGGCCAGCAAAGGGGTGCGGGAAGCAAGAGGCCCCGGCCACAGCATGAGGTGAGCCCATCAAGCCAGGGCCAGGTGGGCAATGGGAGGCAGGCAGGGCTTGGGGTGGGACCCTGCTGCAGCACCGTCCACTGTCAACCAGAGGAGTTTCTTCCCTGTGCAGAGTCCACGGGCCTCCTGTGAGTGTGTGCATGGGCACACGTGTGTGTGTGCCTCTGCTGTGTGTCTGTACACACGTATGTTTTGGGTTCTTTTGTGTCTCAGACCATAGAGTCTGCCCCTCCCACCAAAGTCCAGGCAGAAGGATGAACTCACGCCCCTGGGGCCCAGGTGTCAGCAGCCTTTGCCGGATCGTCGTTCCCGGTTGTCACTTGCCTTTGCCCACAACCCTATTTCTCCACCATTCCTTAAAGGCCTCAACATGCATTTAAGGCATAAAGGTGAAAGTACCCAGAAACATCTGACTCCACCGTGGAACCCAGGAGCAAGCTGGGGTAGCTGAGGAGCGGGGCCGTTGGCAGAGGCTGGGGTCCCGGCGGAACTTTGGCGGAGGCACGTCCCGGTACGGGCTCCTGACTTCGTCCTCCTGGGACAAGCCCAAACCCGCTCTTTAAATATGGGAGGGACTTTGCTGACCCTGGCCCTGATCCCAGCACTTGGAAACTAAGGAGTGGTCGCCTCCCTCGTGTCACAGCCGCCCCGTTCATCATCACAGAAGCGACTCTGTCGCCCCTGTGGGCCTCTCTGTGACTGCTGCCTGGGTCCAAGCTGAGCCCAGCTGCCCAGGCCCAGAAGGAAAGCCCAGGCCAGGCACCCAGCACCGGGGAGAGCCACAGCAAGCAGCCAACGTTGCCCAGGAGAAGAGTAGCCGGCAAGGCAGAACGTGAGCTGCCACTGGCTCAAGAGGCTTTGCTGGTCGTCCTGGGGCTCTGGACATGACCTGGAGGAGCGAGGGGAGAAGTCACATGGTGGTCCCATCCCGGGGCCTGATGGCAGGTGGCCACCCGTCCCAGAGTGGTAGCCAGACGCCAGCGCCATTCCCACAGTCACATCGTTGGTCACAGACTGCAGGACAGAGTGTCTTCTCTCCATCGCAGTGCTGTCCAAACCCATAGCCTAGGGTAGACCTGGAAGATTCATTGTCCACACCCGGGTCTGGAGCACAGCCATGAGCCTCGCCAGCTGCCTGTGCATGGAAAGCCAGCCCAAGCCCTGCTCCATCCCTAGCCAATGTCAGTGTCCTTTCCCCTTTTCCCAAGTGAGCTCTAGCCAGCTGCCTACTCTGCCATCTGAGGATGACAACCTTCATTCCATTGGAACCCGGCTGTGCCACCAGCTGGCCTGCAGTCCTGGGCAGACTCCGTCACCTCGCTATGCCTTAGCCTCTCCATCTGCACAGGAGGAGGATGATGATGGTGGTGATGGTGGTGATGGCTTCGTTTTGCATCTGAGGCAAGGACTCAATGAGATGATACACATCAGGCACTGGGTATGGTGCCGGTCCTTCCTGAACACTCATCTATGTGAGCTGTCCTTGTGAAACGGGTTCACCACATTTCCCCATGCAGAACATCCTTTGTCTGCCATACTTGAAACGTCTGCCCCAATACCAACAGCTCCTTATGGAAGATGTGCACACACCCACCTACCCTCATACTCCCAAAGGTGCTCATGCCTTATCAAGCCAAAGTCCAGCCGGGAACTTTATAGCAGCATCCCTTTCCCTCTCCATGCACCAAGGAGCAAGGCAAAGCACTACATCTTCCATCTGGGGGCAATGCCGCCCTCTTGTCCCATTTTCACTGCCATGCCTAAGAGGTAGTGCTTCCCCCACAAGGTTCCATGGCGGCCTACCTACAGCAACTCTGTTCACATGAGTTTCAGCATCCTTGCAGTGGCTCCCCTGCCATGCTGTGGCTCTTCATTCACACTCGCCTCCTGCTCCCTGTGGCAGGCATAGATTCTGAATGATCTGGATACACTGCTTTGTTAATGACAGTACACCTCCTGTGCTGGGGAAGACACAGCAGATACAGAAGGCAATTGTTGGGCACAAAATAATGACAGCAGAGATGATGGCAAGTTGGCATTTTTCTTTTCTAGCAATAAACCTTAAAACTGACTCAAGAAGAAAAGGAAATCAAAATCCTCAAGGAAGCATTAAGATTATTAAATAATTGTCCTCACGGATGACTTCAGGCCAAGATGGCTTTATGGGTGAAGTTTAGACTTTCAGAAAACTAATCAGTTCCCATAAGAATTGCTCCAAGATTTGGAGGAACATGGAAAAGTCCATTAAAGGAATCACACTCCACAGTTCCCAGAGTAAAACATGGGCTAACTTGCGTTTCGGTAAAGAGCCAAATGTTATAAACGACACCCTAGAAAGCCAAATTCTGTCCATCTCATTGAAGAACAACTTACACCGGGAATTAAGAACTATTTCTAGCTCATCCCACCACTCAGGCCAATGATGACATCCTTCTCCATCCCTTCCCAATGTCTGTGCATTTCCTGTGACGCAGGAGGTCTGGGGTAGGGAGGGCTCCTGCCTTAGGTCCGAGGCCCTGTCTGAAGAGGGGTAGGTGAGGAGGCCACTTGATGGTCTGGGCCAAGACAGCCACAGGATGCATCATTCATTATCAAGGAGGCTGAGGGCTGGGTCTCCAGGTCCAAGGAACTCCCCACAAGGTGGGAACCCTGCCCAGCCCCACACAGCCTCTGCTGGGGGACCCTGCTCTGGCACAGAGCCTGGGGACAGGTCCTGAGCTCAGGCAGAGTCTGCCTCCCTGTCATTTAGGAACTAAACCTAGTGGCAGGATGCTGGAGCCCAGCCCCCATCTGACCTTACAGGGCTAAGGCTGGGGCCCTGGGTTCCCCTCAAGGCGCAGCAGGACTAGAGGCCCAGGCAGTGCAGGAGTGACCAAGGCCGGGGCTTCCTCCAGAGCCCTCAAGCATCACGGCATCAGGAAGGGTAGGAACCTGGCCGCAGGAATTGGCACCAAAGCTCCAGAAGCTACCCTGGACACCATGGAGAGAGGCCTGGAGGGAAAGCGCCAGGCACTGCCTCCCCTTCTGATCCCATCTGAGGTGGCTGCCAAGCCCAGAGAACGGCTCTGATGTCCCCCAGCCCTGCAGCCCACTGACACCTGTACTGTGCCCTTGTGAGACCCCTGTGCAAAGAAGTCACCACCCTACACTCAAAGACAGTGGGGGGCCTCGTCCCACATCCTCAGAGCATGGCCCGTTTGCTGCAGGGATGGTCTCCTCGAGGCCCCCCAGAGCTCTATCATAAGGGCTCCCTCCACCCCCTGCACCAAGAGACAGCCAGACCCCAGCAGGGCTTCCAGTGGCTTCAGGGCACACCCCTAGGCTGACTCCAGCCCCATCAACACCTGTCTGAGAAAGCTTCACGCACCAGAACTGACCGTTTGCTCCAACTCCCGACCTCCGGTTCTCAGGGCGTCTGCTGAAAAGGCTGCAACTGCACGTCCTTCCTCTGTCCGTTCCCAATGTCCATGCATCTCCTGTGGCCAGGAGGGTCTTTCTCGGGACTTGAGAGCTGCTCCCTGAAGTGTCCCCATTGGGAAGATGGGCCGGTGTCTCCAGGCTCTGGGAGGACAGAATCCTGACCTCAACAGTGGCCGGTGCGGACACAGCGGGCCCCATCCCAGGGACGCTGACCAGCGCTGGGCAACTTTTCCCTTCGCTGATGACTGAGCCCCGAGCACCCTCCCTGTCCCCTGTACCACCTCCCTTTACAAGGCTGTCGCTTCTGCACAGATGATAATGGAGCTTGGCTCATTCCCCTAGAGTCAGTAGGGAGTGAATGACAAAATTCAGTTTCCTCCGCCTGAACTCAAGTCTGCCTGCATTTACCTGACCACACCTGGTGGACAGTTTGGACAAATTTGCACACCCAGAGACACAGACCCTTCTAGAAATCATTATCTCCCCATCCCTGGGACCCCTCTCCTGGGGAAGTCGGCTAGGCACTGGCCTGGGCCCTCCTGCTGTCCTAGGAGGCTGCTGACCTCCTGCCTGGCGCCTGTCCCCAGCTCCAGAGCCAGAGCAGACGACAGGGACGCTGCAGGCTAGGAAGCCGCCCCCTCCAGGCCGGGGTCTAGTGCAGGTGCCCAGGTCAAGAAAGATTGTGAATGCAGGAATGACTGGGCCACACCCCTCCCGTGCCCGCCCCCTCCTGCCCTGCACCCCACAGCCCAGGCCCACATGCTGGATGCCCCCCCACAGCAGGGGTGCTGTTCTGTGACCCCCTGGGAAAGACGCCCTCAGCCTCCGCCCTGTCCCACCACCCAAGGAAGACAAGACACAGGCCCACTCCCCACAGTCTCCCACCCGGCTCCTGCTGGGACCCTCAAGGCGTCCCGCCCGCCTCTGCGGGAAATCCGGGACTCACCAGCAGCCCTCAGGAAGCAGGGTGTGGCCCCATTTCATAGGAGGCTTTGTCACAGTGAAATTCTTAGGAAGCCTTGACTGCGATGATGACCGTGGCGTGGCCGTGAACACTGTCAGCTCCCACAGTTGCTGCAGCAAAAATGTCCTCAGACCGGGTGGGGGCCCTGGGTCGTCTGCTGTCCTGCTCAACCCAGAGCACGCAGGAGGATCTGAGGCCACACCCGACACCCAGGCCAGAACATGCCTCCCTCCAGGGTGACCTGCCATGTCTTGCATTGCTGGAGGGACAGGGGCAGCCTAAGGGGGTCTGCGGCCGGGAGATGAATCCCATTAACCCAAAGGAAAACAAGCAGGACCCAACCACCCTGCCCGCTGAGGCCGACCTGCCCAGAGGGGCCTGGCCCACCCACACACCGGGCGGAATGTCTGCAGGCCCCGGTCTCTGAGGGTGTTCAGCACCCTCCCCGCTGAGGCCGACCTGCCCAGAGGGGCCTGGTCCACCCACACGCCAGGTGGAATGTGTGCAGGCCCCGGTCTCTGCGGGTGCTCCACTAGCTGGGCTCCCACTCCTCACCCCACACCTAAAACGAGCCACAGCCTCAGAGCCCCTGAAGGAGACCCCGCCCAGCAGCCCAGGCCCACCCCGGAGGCCCCAGAGCTCAGGGAGCCTGGGCGGATTCTGAACAGCCCCGAGTCACAGTGGATATAGCTGGAACGATCACTGTGAGAAAAGCTATGTCCAAAACTGTCTCCTGGCCACTGCCGGAGGCCCAGCCAGAGAGGGGAGCAGCCACCCCAAACCTGGGTCCTACCCAGCTCGCATGATCCCCAGCACCCGGAGCACAACGCAGTCCCCACTGAATGGTGAGCACGGGGACCGGGGCTCTGGGGGGTCAGGGAAGGGGCTGGACCCCATCCTACTGCCCTGGCCCCAGTGCCCCTGGCCAGAACTGACCCTACCACCACCAACAGTCCCTCAGGGAAACAGGGGTCACCGGCACCTCCCAACATCAACCCCAGGCAGCCCAGGCACAAACCCCACATCCAGAGCCGACTCCAGGAGCTCATTCACCCCAGTACCCTGGGGGACCCCGACGCGATGACTGCCCACTGGAATCCGCCCCAGAGTCTACCAGGACCAAAGACCCCACCCCTGTCTCTGTCCCTCACTCAGGGCCTGCTGCGGGGCGAGCGCTTGGGAGCAGACTCGGGCTTAGGGGACACCACTGTGGGCCCGACCTCGACCAGGCCACAGGCCCTTCCTTCCTGCCCTGGTGCAGCAGACTCTGGGGTCTGGGCTGGGAGGAACTTCTGGCAGGTCGCCAAGCACAGAGCCCCCGGGCTGAGGTGGCCCCAGGAGGATCCCAAGGAGGAGGCCCCCTCCCCTTCCTCCCAGCTGGACCCCATGTCCTCCCCAAGATAGGGGTGTCATCCAAGGCAGTTCCTCCATGGGGCCCCATTCAGGCTCCTCCCCAGACCCCACGGGGCCTCAGTCCTGGCTCTGGGAATGCAGCCACCTCAGGCACCCCAGGCAGCCCAGACCCAGTCACCCTGCGGTGCCCAAGCACACACCTTGGAGCAGAGCAGGGTGCATCTCGGAGGGGCTGGGCTCCCCACCCCCACCCCCACCCCCACCTG